GCACGGGATACATCACATTGATCAGTCTGAGCCCTGTAGGTGTTTAGGGTTGTACCGTGTTGGCCCATGCAAGGGTGAGGACGGGCGCGGTTGGGGGAGCGGCGGCCGCAGACGCGACCAGACAGGGCAGCATGCCGGACGAAGGGTTCCAGCCGGTCGGCGCAAGAAGTTGAAATGATGTCAGTATGCGCACCATCATGAAGTTTGGCGGGGGCTTGCCACGGCAGAAGTTCGAGAGCGTCCAGGTGGCGTTGCGCAGCATGCTGATCTTGCCGTTGTCCTTGAGCTGTCGCAGGGACGATTCGAAACGCGGGCCGGGACGGAGGGGTGAGGGGCGCCGGCGGGGGGGCTCCGATGCTTGCGCCTCTTACCAGTGCTTCTCATCAGCAGCAGCAGCAACCGCAGCCTCAGTCAGCAGCCTGAGGCAGCGCAGGACGGCGGTCCAAGCGGGTGCCCTAGCGCCCCTGCCGCCACGGCCCCTGTCCGGCCACGCACGCACGCCCCCTCGCCACCCGGCCCCAACCGACGCCCACCTGCTCCAGCAGCGGCGGCAGCGCGTTCAGCGAGAGCACCAGGTCGCGGCAGCGCGGCGAGTCGCCAGCAATGTTGCCCAGCGCCCACACCGCCTGCGCGCGGAGGGGCGCGCGGCGCGACGCATGCGTGCGGCGGCGCTCGTGAGACGGCGCGTCGCGCCAGGCGCCAGTGAATGTGAGATCGTGCTGAGGCGGGGCAGCCTGAGAGGCTTTGCGGCCCGAGACAGCGCGCAAGCCCGTCGCGTCCCCGACAACCCAGCTGCCTGTGCCGCTGGATGGCAGCCACCGCGCCCGCGGCCGTCAGGGGTGCACCCACCTGCTCCCGCACGTCGTCGCTGGGGGACTGCAGCAGCTGCACGAAGATCGTCACCGCGCCCTCATCGATCACGACCTGCGCGGCGGGTGGCGGGCGGCGGCGGGCGGCGCGGCGGCGGGCCGTGGGGTTGCCGGCTCCACCACAGCCAGTCGCTCGCGCGCCCCGCCTCAGCAGCCCTCACCATGCCTCCAGACCAAGAAGAGAGCCCACCCCTGCCTTGTGTGCCACGGCAGATTGGCAGCGCGGGCACCGCTCCCCCAGCCCGCTTAAAAAAAAGGCTTCCGCGCGCCTTTGTGTGGTCGCTGGTGCCGCTGGCCACGTTGGTGAGCGCCCAGGCCGCCTCGAACTGCAGCTGGGGCATGTCGTTGCGCTGCAGGAACTTCACAAACTGGGGGATGACCCCCTGCCGGATGACCTCGTCGATCGGGGGGTTGCGCTCTGGGGTGAAGGGTGGGCGGGGCCGAGCTGTGGGGTCGGTCTTGGGCGCGGTTGGCGCGGCGGGACGAGGCCCACAGGCTGGGGTGCGTGCGGCGGGGGGCTCGGCAGGGACCTGCTAAGCCTGCGGGACCGGCGCCGCGCCGTCGCACCCCTCGCCTGGCCCTCCCCGGCTGTACGGTCAAGGCGACGCCTTCCCCAATACACGCTGAAATTTCACACGCACCGATGGAGAGAAGCTTCCTGAACTTTTGAGTCGCCTCGTACTGGTCCTGGGGGTTGGCGCTGTACAGGCCCTGGACCATAGAGGGCAGCTCGTCCAGCTGCTGCGCTCATGGGCCAGGGGGGCAGAAAGGATGGGGGTGGGGTCAGGTTGGGGGCACGCCTGAGGCGCGTCGGGCCGCGCATGCACGAGCTGAGGTGGAGGCGGCGGTTGCGGCAGCCAAGCCGCAGGGGCGCGCTCAGGCTGCAGCCGCTGCCAGCGTGTTGCTGGAGGGCAGGGCGTGCTGCTGGCTGGGTGCGGGCTCGACGGCGCGACTGCAGGCGCCAGAGCGCGTGCGCATGCGCATGCGGGACGGCACGCAGCCGCGGCTCACCTTGTGCGGCAGGCCCATGGGGCGTGCTGAGCTGTCCTCCATGGCATAAGAAGGCCCAGCGTTGACGACGCGCTTCTTCTGCAGCTGCTCATCGCGCTTGGCCTTGCGCAGCTCGATGATGTTGTCCTCGCGCTTGCGGCGCGCGTCGTCCGCGTCGATGCCCTTCTTGAAGTCCTTCTTGCGCGGCACAGCGCCCGCCCTCATTTTTGTGTGGTCTGTGGCATGTGCGCCGCAGGGGTTGGCAGCAGACGGAGGGGCCCGCATGCTCAGGCGGCCGTCGCTGGTTGAGCACGGTGCGCAAACGCAATGACGCGGCCATGCAGGCGCGCTGGCTGCTTGCACGGGCGCATGCGGGCCCCATGCGTGAGATTCAAGTTCGTGGGAAGATCCTGAGCAGCCCTGCACGGGGATGGGGAGTGGCGCTCCGCGCAGAACGATCTGGGCACCACAGGCGCCGCGCAGGCACACCTGGGAGCAGTTTCCGGCAGAAGATGCCCCCTGGTCACGAGATAGCGCCCTGGAGTTGATCCCTGCTATCGAAAGTAAGATCACAGAACGCGGGCTTTCCTGTGACACTGTTGTGGTGGCTGGAGGTCTAAGTCAATAATTTTCGCTGGGTTTGAGATGGTTTTAGATCGCGTACAAATGGATGGCCGCGCCCTACGAGGCAAGAGCACAAGTTACCCTGAGACTGCAACTGAGCAACAAGGGTCCATGTTGATCAGACACACTCGGTTCGCAGGTTATGTCATTGAATGTCACAACAATTGTGGTCAAAACCATACAATACCCTCTCACGTCTTCGCCTGGTGCAGCAAACGGCGGCAGGAGCCACTTGTGCAGCACTGAACCCACAGCATGACAACACAGGCGTGCACACCGAACATGCACGACTGATTAAATGCGGTGAAGATGTCGAAAACAATGTGCAATCATCTTCTCCTCCCACCTTGACTCTGGTGGGGAAGCCGCAAGTTGACCACATGTTGACCTCATTAGGCGGAATGCACACACAGCATTACCATGTCGGTACAGCATTACCATGTCGGTGGTAATTAGCATAGGAGGCAGCATATGCCGCTGCAGGTTCGCGCGCGATACAAGTCAGCATACAGGCTGCCATGTGGATCTTGTCAGTTGCGATCCCCCCACCCCCGGCGAACAGCACAACCCCATTTGTAGATGTGGCTGCGTGGACCACTTGCTGTCACATCACGTGCCTTCCTCGTCAGAGTCCCGGACCAGCTGGAAGGAACACAGTACAGAGCGGCATGCTGTGGTAACCACATCTGCTGTTTGTGGTTGCTGCAATGTATAACAAGCCACAATACAGCTCCAGCGAGCTCGTCCCTCGCACCACCATCGTAACACGCACCAACGTCTCAAGAGCACCATGGTCCCAACGAACACATCAGCGTGCCCCTCGCCCGGTTTCAACCCCTGGCCAACCCCCCTCGCGGTCGACCTGACACTCAGGTTTCGTGGCCTTCCCGACGAGACAGACGTGTGTGCCACGAGCCCTTCTACCGCGCAGAGCCCCATGGACAGGCGTTCATGCTTCCATACTCCGGGTGAGCGCTCCACTGTGTTTAGCAGGGTTGAAACTGGCGGCGGCGGAATGGTGTGCGGTGGTTGGTCGAACGGCGTCAACCGCCAGTGCACTTCCTTGGCATGACCCAACTTCGGCGATTTGCAGGCAACCACGTAGCAGTTTGCTTTCCTAAGCGCTTCCCCTGGGCTTCTGGGGGCGCAGGGTCGCTGGCGGCCAGCACGTGCACAGCAGCTGCTGCATCAACCTGCAGGATTTTCCCCAGCTTTCTTGGGAGACCAGCTGCACCTCACTCCCGCACACAGTGTATCAACCCTGTTACAAACACAGTCTTCAAGACTGCCTGCTTGGAAGCCTGTATCAAACCGCGGATCAAGGCGGTCTGTTTTGCTCGCACCTCTGGACAAAGCGGCCCCCAAAGCCCGTATTCGGCCCAGCGTGACCCCTCGGAGCCTGTATCCCCTCCCACGCCCCGGCTACCTGCCCCGCGCCAAGGACGCGAGCCCCCAGCCAGCAGCTGTGAAAGATGGCAGTGGCGCCCGCGTCAGAGGACTGGAAGCAGTCGCTCAAGATCCCTGAGAAGGACCTGCGCATACGTACTGCCGTGAGTGCCTTTGACGGGGAGGGAGGGCGCCCACGGGCTGGGCACAGGCACAGTATGGCCAGATCGTCCGAGCCTGGGTGGCGGGCGCATGCTTATCAAGGTATAGGAGGAGATGATTTTGTTCTGCTGGATTTTGTTCGTGGTGTTGGCTGAGCCGATTCTCGGCGAAGGTAGTGGCGCTCGTCTCATCAGAGGAGCCGTATCTCAGGAGCCTGTGCCGTGTGTAAATACGCCCACATGAGTTCTGCGTGCGCCATGACGTCCCTGCGTGGGCGCCTTGCGGCGGCGCACATGCAGCAACGCTGGATGATCTGACCGCGCCGCCCGCCCGCATCACCCGCCGCCAGGATGTGACGGCCACCAAGGGCCATGAGTTCGAGGACTACTTCCTGAAGCGCGAGCTGCTGATGGGCATCTACGAGAAGGGGTTTGAGAAGCCCTCGCCCATCCAGGAGGAGTCCATCCCCATCGCGCTCACCGGCCGCGACATCCTCGCGCGTGCCAAGAACGGCACCGGCAAGACCGCCGCCTTCTCCATCCCTGTACTGGAGAAGATCGACCCCACCAAGAACGAGGTCCAAGGTGCGGCGCTGGGCGCATCGGTGGTGGGCGCGGCCGGTCCGCGGCGGCAGTCTTGGGCGCGTGCCAGGCGCCCGGAGAGGTTAGCTTGCCGGCACACCCACCCACACTCCACTTGTGCGCTGCTGCGCTGTGATACAGCGCCGTGATCCATACGACCCTTAGCCAGCAGGTGTGGCTTTGGTTGCATGTAGCAGGCGACCCCACCTCCATCACTTGCATTCCCTGACGCGCCCGCCCCTCGTACGCCGCGCCGCGCAGCCATGCTGCTGGTCCCGACGCGCGAGCTGGCGCTGCAGACGGCCCAGGTCTGCAAGGAGCTGGGCAAGCACCTGGCGGTTGACGTCATGGTGACCACTGGCGGCACCAGCCTCAAGGATGACATCATGCGCCTCTACCAGGTGGGCCAGGGTTAGTGGCGTCGCTGCCTGGGGGCCAAAGAGGTGCCCGTTCGGTCGGACGATCCGTGTTGACAGCTTGGGCTGGCTAGGCCGGCAGGTCGACGCTCGTTCTCGCAGGCCGCGCGTGGCTTGAGGCGCTGCTGTGCGTGCGGCGGCATCAAACCCATGCCGCTGCGCGCGTCGCAAACCTGGGGGCTCGCCCGATGCCAACGCCGGCTCCGCTGCGCCCCGGCTCCCTCGACCCCCTCGCCCCCCCCCCCCCCCC